TTCAAAATAAAAAAGTAAAAAGGGCTGGGATGCATCTTGGTGGAAAAGCACTCCACCATTTTTGGTTCAATCCATAGTACCAAAAAAAAAAATATATATATATATATATATATTAAAGTTTCAAAACTCTTGATCAAAATAAGATCATGGGTCATTTCAAGTCATTCATCTAACCACAATGATGGTCAAGAAACTTCAAAAGCAAACACAAAGTCGCAGAGTCATAGGAAAAATATCCAAGCTGTTCAATAAAAAGGATTTGGTTTTCCTAAGTAATCAAGAGACCTAATGAAGCCCTATTTCTTAGTAAGAACAGATCAATTCTCAAAATCTTGTATTAACATAAGGAACCATGGGGCTGGGGATGTGGCTCAAGCGGTAGCGCGCTCGCCTGGCATGCGTGCGGCCCAGGTTCGATCCTCAGCACCACATACCAACAAAGATGTTGTGTCCGCCGAGAACTGAAAAATAAATATTAAAAATTCTCTCTCTCCTCTCTCTCTCTCCTCTCTCACTCTCTCTTAAAAAAAAAAAAAACATAAGGAACCATATTCTAATTTTCCTTTTTTTTGTTGCCAAGTTGCTAAGGCTGGTCTTAAACTTGTGCTCTTCCTGTTTCAGCCTCCCAAGTGGCTGAGATAACAGATGTGCACCACTGCATACAGCTATAGTTATATTTGATGTTAATGTTTAGTTTGGGGGCTGGGGATATAGCTCAATTGGTAGAGTGCTTGCCTTGCATGCACAAGGCCCCAACTTCAATCCCCAGCAACCCTCCCCCAAGAAAAAAAAGGAAGTTTGGTTTTTAGCAAGTTTAAGTAGTTCCTTTTTAATTTTAGTGAACTTGAAACAAAGTTCCTTTCACAAGATTCATCTTTCTCCAGCTTTTCACAACCTTCTTACATTCCTTCAATTACTTGTCATATATTTTCCCTCTCTCATTTTGAGATAAGCAGTCATTCTATTTTAGATCTAATACTTTCCTCTCACGCAAGCACATCTTTCATACAGTATTGCTTTACCTGCCAAATACATCTTACTTTCCTTGCATAAGGAGTTGATTCTAGTTGTAATTACCACATATTATGATTTTTTTAAACTCCCAGCAACTTTTTTTTTTTTTTTTTTGAGAATTTTAACATTCATTTATTTTTTCTTAGTTCTCGGCGGACACAACATCTTTGTTGGTATGTGGTGCTGCTGAGGATAGAACCTGGGCCGCACGCATGCTAGGCGAGCGCGCTACCGCTTGAGCTACATCCCCAGCCCCAACTCCCAGCAACTTTAATTTCTAGTGACAACCTAGGAAGCAAGCAGTTTTGAGCTATTCCATAGCACCATTTTGTAGATGGGCACCATTTCTAAATCTTTGCCAACATGTTTCTTCATAGTCAATACTTTTCCTGTCTACAAACAGACCAAACACCCTGACCTTCTCTACACTGCATTTAAAACAAGATGTTTCAGTACTCAAATTTATTCAAACATCAAACTGAGACTAGTACTATGTTTGTTATTAAATAAATGGCAACATGCTAGGCAAGCTTTACCCTGAGCTAATCCCCAACCCCACCAGTTTTTGTTTCTTTTGTTTTTTTTCTCTGATCTGGTTATGTACCTGAGGCCTCTCTAGAGGACAGTTTGGTTTGTTCCTACTGAACCCAGTTCAGTTTCTGTCTGACCCAATTGGAAACCTGAGACTTCCCTAGAGAGCCCTGTCACAACATCCAAACAGTCCAGATCAAAATTTTGTTCATACAGATTCAGATGGCTCAAAACACAAACTTGGGGAACTTTGGGATTTGAGAGAAAACTTACCTACCATTCCAGATACAGCAAGATCTCAGTGCTCAGGAAGGGCCCAACTGGTAACCCCTTCCGCTTATCTAGTGCTCCTGGGGGTCTCTAGAGCTCTGTTTTGGATCCTGCTATGTCAATATTGTAAAAAGAGAATTTTTTTAGATCAGTTGAATTTAGAGGACTCTATTTGAACAACAACAACAAAAAAAATCCTTTTCATGAAGAAAGTAGTTCCCAGAACCAACACAGTTTCTGAGAACTTGTGTCAATGTGGCAATTAGACCCGCACTTAAGGAAAACAGGTGCGAGGCGTCAAAAACAACTTAATTGACCACAGCCTTGTCAATGGGTTACAACCTAACTAGTTATTTACAGCCTAATCAGTTAACAGACTCTAGGGCCTTCTGCAGCCAGCCCACAGCTTCTGTTGTGATTAAACTATATTTGGTCTACTGGGCCCTGTGCAGATGCCAATCCAAATCCATGACCTCCTACAGAGTGTTATTTAACAAGACCTGATGAAATAGAAAGGTTGAGATCATCGGGCAGAAGAGTTGAGACATGCTCCAATCTGGTGCAATAGAGGAGAGCTGTAAGGAAGCATGTGGTGTGGATTCAGGGTTTTTAGGTGGCTGTTAGAAAGCCAACTTTAGCTAGCAAGCCACCTTTTGCTGACTTATGCTATGACCTTCTTTTCTTTCTATTATTCCCCCCTCCCCCATACCAGGGATTGAATCCCTGCGTGCTTAACCACTGAGCCACATCCCCAGCCCTTTTATTTATGTCTTCTTATTATGAGACAGGGTCTTGCTAAATTGCTCAGGGCCTAGCTAAGTTGCCGAGGCTGGCTTTGAACTTACAATCCTCAGCCGCCTGAGCCACTGGGATTGCAGGTGTGTACCACTGTGCCCAGCAAGATGATGTTTCTGACAGTCACGACAAGGAAGTACAGAGTAGGAGTGCACAACAACTGGAGCTAGGGATTGATCCTGTGCCTCCACCCACACCTCCTCTCTGTGCCTCGGCACCCTGTGATTAGAAACCAGCCTATGGGGTGACAGGCTCATTGGGCTGCTTTCCAAGCAGAGGATAAACTGGCCACTTGTGGCTACAACCACTTCCTAGGACAGGCCTGTCCTGTGCCAAGCTTGGTTGGGACCTGATGCAGCTCTGTTGCCTTGAGTTCTCCCGCCCTCTGCCTTCCTCATAAGGAATGTAGGAGTTTAATTTCCCCAAACAGGTAGGAGATGGAGATGAGCCGGTAAATCAATGGTGACCAGTAGCTCTGTGGAGGGAAAAGGGAATGGGAAGAAGTCAGCGAGGAGTGAGGAGTCTGCTTCATGAGGCTCTAGAGTCTGAAGTGGTTCCCTCCAGGGGTCCTAACTTTCACATGGTTTACCTAGTCTCTGAGCCACCACCCTCTCCAACCCTTATTAACCAGCCTCAGACCTGTCAGGGACTCAGATGTGGGCATTTTTTAATACCCCAGGTGGTTCTAATTTGCAGCCAGATTTGGAATCACTATCATCTCCCTCATCCTACTTGTTACGGCCCTTCACGGATGATTATTTCTCCATCCATTTTTTTCAACTTCAGCTTCTCTCCGTATTTCCCAATTTGGATTCCTTGGTTTGTTTGCCCTGAACTTCCCAACAGCCACTAGCCTGTCTATGGATTGGCTGTCTTTGGGTCATTTACTCTTCCTTCCCAGTTTGAGTTCCCTAGAAAGGAAGTTGGGGACTATTGGCTCCTCACCATTGTCTGTGTCTGGTACCAGGTCCTCTCCCAGGTTGCAGACCAGTTGGTCCCATACACTGCTAGTTGGGTGTTAGACACCCAAGGCTGAGGGGGCACAAGAGGAATTAGGGTGAGGACTGTGGACTGGGGAGCTTCCCCTAGTTTCAATCAGCAAGCCATCCTCCTCAAAACTGCATTTCCCAGTGCTTGCCTGGAAAGCACAAGACCCTAAGTTCAATCCCCAGCAACACACAGACACACACACACACACACGCAGAACTGCATTTCCCACTGCCACTGTCCTTTAGAAGGACACTCAGACTGATTTTGTGGCACACTCCTGTAATCTTGGTGACCAGGGAGGCTGAAGCAGGAGGGTCATAAGTCTGAAGCCAGACTCAGCAACTCAGCAAGATTCTGTCTAAAAATAAAAAGTTCAAAGGACTGGAGATATAGCTCAGTGGTAGAGCACCTCTGGGTTCAATCACCTGTATCAAAAAAAAAAAAAAATTAAGAGTACTCAGCTCTGAAATGTATTATATAATTTCAGCAGTTTCCACAAGTAGCATCTAATCAAAAAACTAGGAGTCGCTGTATCAGATGCAATGTTCTACTCTAGCTGCTGAGATTAAACAATTTCTTCTTTTTTAATCAATTAAAAGAAAACTTGTGATTCCTCTCTGGTCTTTCCTCTTAATTTTGAAGGAAGCACAACGGGGGTAGAGAGGCTACTTTAAAGCATTCTTATTGACAGAATCGAGAGCAGAGGCCTAGAAGTGGTAGGATGGACATTTCACTGGCCTCAAGTCCCTGGGGAGACACTGGGGAAATGTCTGTCTCTGGCGTCTGGACACTCCTAGGAGGGCAGGCCTGCTAACCTTTCCTCACCCTGAGAACACCTGGTTTTCCATCCCCAACCTCTTCTTTGGGGAACAACCCTGCCCTGACACCTGCAGCTTCTTTTGGGAACTCCTCCCTTCACCCCAAACCAGAGTCCAGTCAGAGGTTGCAGTTTTACAAGACTCCTGGCCCTCAGCTCATCAGTCCAGGTGGCTCTGGATTCAGGAGCACCAATCAGAGAGGCTTTCCCTGGAACTTGAAAGGAGAATATGCCCTTTTCATGTCCTGAACATTAAGATGTTAAAATTAAGAGTTCCTGGTGGTTAAGTGCTATAGTGGACACCAATCTAGAATGAGAGACAATAAAGCTGATTTGCAGACTGGGCATGGTGGCACACATCTGTGATCCCGGTATTAAAAGGGCTGGGGATATGGCTCAGTGGTTAATCACCCCTGGGTTCAATCCCCAGTACCAAAAAAAAAAAAAAAAAAAAAAAAATCTGTAGATCTTGAAACAAATGATGAAGAAGAGTGTCAGTGGCATTTTTGCTTCTGATATTTAGATGTGCCCCTATCTAAAAGGCAGTTTGGCCCTTCAACCCTTCCATCAATGAGATGCTTCATTAATGTGCAAATACATTCTTTATTGATGTAAAACATAGTGCTTTAAAACAAACATTTATATCTCACAGTTTGGTTAAGAAGTGGGGCATGGCTCAGTTGGGTGGTTCTGGCTCCTGCTGCAGTCTTCTGACAGTGGCCAAAGGATCCACTTCCAAGATGGCTCTTTTCTTGGTAAAGGCCTGTTCCTGGCTGGCTGTTTGTAAGTCTATTAGGTTGGCTCTTGGTGAGAGGCCTCAGTTTCTCACCACATGGTCCTCTCCACAGGTTGCTCATGTGTCCTCACAACAAGGTACTTAGAGGAAAGTCACAGTGCCTTCTAGGACTTTGTAAAATTGCACGTCACTTACCCTGTATTCTACTCTTTAGGAGCAGATCAATATGTGGAGCCCACCCTTAAAAGGAGGACAATTAGGTTCCATACAAGTAACTGACAGGTCTAATTTTGTGGCTTCTCCATCCTCGCTGATCATTACCATCTGGCTAGCCTCTGGGACTATGGTCTTAGATGTTTCCTGCTATCTAACCCTTTCAGAGATGGCTTGGGCCCTCGGACACAGTTTTCTTAGTTTTGCCCCATCTTCTCAGCACTGATAGAATTGAGTGACCATTCCACGTCAAAGGCAGTTTTGCCCTAGCAGGATATCAATTCCTCCCACCCCCACGGTGTAGACAAGAGAATATTTTTAAACCACAATATTGGGAGATGGTATGTGAACAGTGTTTGAAATTTGTGCTGTCCAAAAAACCTGGAGCCTAAGGATGCTCTACCTACATCCCCTTGTTTCTTAGGGAGGCACCTGCAGAACGGACAATGACCACTGACTTCTCTGGTGGTGGGACCTATGAAATACAAAAAGGAGTTTGAGGAAGGAATAGATGTCAACTTTCCACCAGCAGGGTGACCAGGGAGCTGAGGACTGAGAGAGGCAGTAGATGTGGTCACCTCTGAGGAAGTTGAACAGTAGAAAGGTAGGGATGGAGGGCAGGAGCCACATTGCAAAGGGCCGGTGAACTCACCAGGGCTCTCAGCTACCAGCATCAGCCAATGACTGACTTCTGTGATCAGGGAAGAATCTAGTGCAAGGATATAGGAAAAGTCACAGGATTTCTGAGAACACTGGAAAGCCAGCTTCTGAAAACAGGTAGGAATAAGGCAGTCTGTGCAGCTGAAGCCCAACCTGTGCTACAGACCCAGATACTGAGGCTACTGTTGTGGGCTCAGAGACAGCAGCCTATATAACACTGACTATGCAGCCACCACCCAGAACACCAGATGTTGCAGCCACAGCAGCTGGAATTCATGTCCCATATCCCTGCTTCTTAGTGTCTTTTGCTGAGAAATCCAGGGCAGGTCTGTCGACTGGAAGTTGAGTCAAGATGGCCTGTGGCTAAGTTGCAAAGGAGTCTGATAAGGCCCAGCCCCACCCCCTGCTCCAGGCAGACTGTGGGGGATCTTTAAACACAGGAGAGGATGCAGACTCAATCCTTAGGTCTGCTCCAGAGTATAAAAAGGGTCCAAGGTAATTCTTGGAAGAAGTTTGGAGGGAAAGGCAAGCGTAATGAAGGAAGAGCCAAAGCAAAGGACCTTTTCTTCCTTTTGATATGATTAAGGGAACTGAGCAGTTTCATAAAGGGAAAGAAACCAGAACTTTTTGTTTTTTTCACAGTGCTGAGGTTGGAACCTAAGGCCTCATGCATGCTAGGGAAATGCTCTATCACTGAGCCCATACCACCAGCTCTAAGAAAACCTCTTCACCAGACAAAAAGATGGCGCTCATTCTGTTTTAGTGGCAGGACAGAACTGTCCAAAGATGACCACTCTGGACAAAGGGAACATACTCCTGAAATAAATGAACTTTAAGCATTAGTCACAACCCTCCCAAAGTGTCAGGTATCTGTGGCCTTTAATTAACATCTAAATAGATAACATCTCTTCTATAATTATAATATAGAAATGTCTGTGACCAAAAATCAATAAAGTTTTTGGCAAATTCCTTGGGAAGAATGCCAACAGTGAAATTCACCCAGGGCTTCAGGCAGCAGCATCTGTGCAGTCAGGGTGTGGTCAGTGCTTGGGGACAGAGGTAAAGATCCGCAGTCCGTGCATGCTTTTGATTTCTTCTTTTAGTGCCTGAATAAGTAAAAGAACATCAACATTTTATGTACTTGCCATCAATTAAGCATATCTTTATATATTTGAAGTAGACTTTGCACATTTTGTCTAAGAAATTTTTTCCTTTATAATTTTTTTAATCAATAATATCTAAGCTGAGCATAGTGTCACGGGCCTAGTGTCCCAGGATTTGGGAGATTGAGGCAGGAGGATCACTTGTGCTCAGGAATCCCAGATCAGCCTAGGCAGCATAGTGAGACTCAATCTGAAAACAAAACAAAAACAAACAAACAAACAAAAAATACCATAGCTGAAAAACCAGAAGGTATATGGTAAGGCCTCCCTTCCACACCTGTCCTTCATCTCCCATCCCAAACAGGAAACTGCTATTGTAAACAGCAGTTTATTTCACAATATTTATATTTGCAGGGGTAAAATGCATAAAAACATGAATGTATATTCCACACCACTGCCTTTCAAAACCACAAATGCTAACATTTCAAACAAACTGTTCTATACTTTGCTTTTCCCTAACCATCTACCTTGGAGACCTTTCCATAGCATAAAGTGTCATTCTTTGCCTTGGCATCATGTTCCATGATACAGATGTATTATAACTTTTCAACTTGTCCCCTAATGAACTTTAGAGCTGTTTCTGTTTGCTATTTCAAACCATAAGCAGCTATTCTTTAAAACCACACAAATGCCACAAATTCCCCTCTTTTATAGATTCATATGGCAGCTAGGTGAAGAGTGCACAGCACATGGGACCATTTGCCTTCTGCAAGCTAAGGACACTCCTGGGCCTCGCTGGCTGGATGAGGGCCCAATCACGGCTCAGCTGACGGTCCTGGACTGAGAAAACTTCTGGGCTTTGCCACCTCAGGTCTCCACACTTCTCTCTCCTAACACCTTCTCCCTGCATTCTGTGTGGCTCCTTGAAGGCTCCCAACACCCCCCATAGTATCACACATATCATATGCCACAGCTAGAGGGCCTTTGAGATCACCTGAGTCACTTTACAGGAGAGGAAGGAAGCTGAGGCCCTAGGGGGAGAGGTAACCTGGCCAAAGTGCATGGCGAGAAGACAGAGCTTGGAGAAACATATTCTTTTTTCTTAAGGTAGACACAATATCTTTATTTCATTTTTTTTATGTGGTGCTGAGGATTGAACTCAGTGTGTCACACATGCCAGGCAAGTGCTCTATCACTGAGCCCCAGCCCCAGCCCTTGGATAAGCATTTCCGAGCTCTGCTATGTCCACCACATTTTTCTGGGAGCTGGGGACTCAGAGGAGAAGGTGTGGAAGAACGATAAAGGTAAAAGTTCACAAAACAGAAAGCAACAAAATCAGATTCCAGGCTGGCAGCAATGGCCCTGGGAGGCCGCAAGCCTGGCAGCCCCATTACAGGTGTCCTTAGGGGGTGCTCCTGCACACTGGTTTTCAAGTGGGTGAGAAGGGGCCCCAGGAGGAGGCAGCCCTAGAGCTGGACAGCCTGGAGTAGAACAGGCAAGAGCAGGGACAGGGGAAAAGACTGAGGCAGATCCCCCGAGGGTGGGCAATCCCAGGTCAGGAAGAACACTGAGCAAAAGGGGAAACATGAGCAGAGGTGCCCTCAGGGGAGGGCCATCAGGCAGCAGACAGGAAAGAGGCCACAGGAGGGAGGGGGCAACAGCTATTTACCACAGCAAGGGACTTCTGGACCAAGAATTGGATCCTGGGTCACCAAGATGAACATTACTAGGTGTGAGGATGGCCAGAAAAGATCCAGAAGGAAAGCTTTACCCTGACCCAGGCCTGCCAGGGCCCCACTCTGACATCCTGTGTGCTGGATGAGGCTCCTAGCCCACTCTCACTCCACTTTTGAAGACAAAACAATGTGCTTGGGAAGCTTGACCTTGGGCAAAAGAGGCTGGTCATTCCCAGGTTCATCTCCTCCTAGATGGGTGCTAATACCTGCTTGAAGCAGGGCAACTCCAGGCCCCAGCTCAGACCCCTACAGGTCAACTGACCTGCTATTTAAAGAGGTTTCATTTTGTCCCTCCCATGTGACTCTATCAAAGCTAATATCCTCAAACTTAACCATCTAGACACTGCCCACCTGGTATAATTAGATTCCTTCATCAGGGCCCTAACCATGTGCTGTGGCATTTGTGGCACTTGAGGAGTAGGTTACATCAGGCAACCACATAATTTTGAGAATAAAACCGAAATTCCACCAGATCAGGATAAGCTGAGCCACCCCATCTTCCCTCCCCTGTATTCTATCTGGACTCTGACCCATGGAAGAATGTTGCTGTCAGCAACAGCACAGCCACCAGCACACCTTAGGGCTGTAGGACTATGTGCTGTGAGAAATTAAAAGACGGAACCACCCACAAAGGGTTCCCAGGTTCCAAGGGATAAATGGCAGGGGCATAAGTATCTAGGACACAAGGCAGAAAACACTGGTAGCTGACAGAGGGAGTCGAAGGGTGGAGGGGCTTTCATGGCCTGCCAGGGAGGGAGGGGGAGAGCATTTGAGCCAGGTGCAAGAGGGGAAGGGCAGTCTAGGCAGGAGGTCTTATCTGGGCAAATATACAGATACAGAAAGAATAGATGAGTAGGCAGCAGGCTGCTGGATGATGTGTGCAGAAAAGCAGGGTGTCTTCAAATGGCAGTGCAGAACACCTGAACGCAATGCAATGTACGAGGGGCCGCTTCAGACTCTTGGGACCATAGCTGTGCTTTTCAAAAATTAAACTAGTTCATAATGTGCAAAACCTTCCAGAATGATGTCAAAACAAAACAAAACAAAAACCACCTGCTGAAGGGGGTGAGTTACAGACACAGGCCCTAGGGCCAAAGCTGGTATAAGTTCAAATTAAACCAAGCATAAATGGACCCTAGCAAACTAGGGTTGTTTGAACATGAAGTTCCAGGGCCCAAATGTTCTGTCACTGGGTTGGGGCAGCTAGAGCCATTCTCAATCATGCTGTACATGTATTCATCCACCTGTAAAGTAGGCCTAAAGGCTAAAGGGAGGAAAAAAAAAAAAAAAAAGCCCAAATCTACAAAAACACTTATCCTTTAGCACTGTGCCTGCTTACAAACACTATTCACTAGACAAGGAACTACAAAATAACAATTGGGTGGCTTGTTTCCAATTTTGAATAAAAATCCATATTTGCCCACAATCTCATTTTTCTCAGGTCTCCAGTCCTGTTTGTGCAATTGTGAAATTTGAAATATTCTTTCCTAGGACTGCCAGTGAAAACCATGATGCTCTGCCCACATCTCCCAGGTGCTGAAGGCCAGTGGCAAAGGATCATTGGTACCTCCACTGACCTGATTAACCATCTGGTGCTGCTGGACAGTTCTCTTCTCCTTAAATTCTTCTGATTCGATTTTAATTTCATACATTGCCCCGCAGCCTCCTAAAATAAACACAAGTCAAAAGTGTTTTGATTAAGTGTGACAGCCATAGTCCCATGTGTCCTGGAAGTACGATACAACCCAAAGAAGGTCTAAGTATTATTATTTGGCATCTAGGAATGTTGCTAAGACAGGTAGAAAAAAGATCATGGCTTCTGATCTGACCACATACACCTCCTGGCAGGCTTCTTCCAGTTTGCCTCAACCCAAATGTGCTCTTTCTTTTGGAAGGCCACTGTGCTACCCAAGATTATTACTTGTGGGCAGAAAAGATAAGGCACAAAGCACGTTAAACTTAAGGAATATAGAGTATTTTCTTTTAGTAGGACAACAAATGCCACGGCAGAGAGTGGGAAGGACTAAATTTCAGTATTCCTCATTCCAAAGGATCTGCAATCTGTATTTTTAAAAATGAAAAAAAATACACTAAATTTGGTTTAAAGGCTATATTTGTGATCCCATCCAAAAGAAAAGAAAGGAGCAAAGAAGCAGGAGAGAACCAGGGGCACAGTGAATATGCTGGACCTGGACCTGGAGCTACAGTGAAGCCCTAAGGCAGGTGGGCCCTGCCAGCTCTGGCCAAGCTGCACTAACACAAAGCAACGCACAGGAGAATGTCCCCTGCACTGGGAACACCAGGCCACCATCTGAGAAGCACAATCTACTCAACAGGTTTTGTTTTGCTTCTCATGTCATGTGCTCAAGGAATCCACATTTTGGTTACACTCAGGCTCCTGGACTCAATGACTAAGAATGAAAAACCCACTCAAACTCAGTTTCTCCCATTACTCACTCACAACAGACCTGCCCGTGACCTCACAGGTGGGGAAATTTCTCTCCACTGGCAAGCAAGCCATCCTATAGCAGCACACATCAGCTGAATATCTCTAATCCAACTCAGTGTGACCCCACTTACCTGGATGCAAATGCCAATCACAAGCCTTAGGTTGTTTCACCGGTGCTTCAGACTGACCCATTGTAAATCAGGGTTCCCACAACCCCCTTCTAGGGTACAATTTGTGTAAAAAGCTTACAGAACCCAGGGGAACATTAGGTTTACTGGTTTTATTATAAAGGATAATACAAAGAATACAGAGGAAGAGATGCAAAGGTGAGGTATGGGAGAAGGGGCACAGAGCTCCCATAGCCTGTCCAGAGCTCTGACCTCCAGGAACCTCCATGTGTTCAGCTACCCAGAAGCTCTGAATCCTGTCCTTTGATATTTTTCTGGAGACTTCATTGCAAAGGCACAACTGCTAATATACTGGGTGGGGAAACCCAGCAAGCTATCTATTCAGACCCCTCCTGGCCTCTCTGTGTAGCATTTCTTCCTTGTAAACACAGGGCAGGACTCCTTCTGAAAAAGCGGTATAATCACCAGAGAATTCCTTATGGCCAGCTCCAAGAAAAAAAGGTGGGAGAAAACTAGTTTCCATGAAATGTCTTGGGAAAGAGAAATTCTAATATCTCTGGCCTGCTTTGGGGAAAGGGGTTATAAGCCAGGAATTATGGTCAAAAACCAAAATATGTACACCATAATATCACAACACCTTTTAGAACTCCATCCAGGGCTGGGCAGCGCCAAACTGAGGGAAAAGTTTCAGCTCTGCCCTGGGCCTGGGACAGGTAAAGGCCTGGTGACATCAAGGTCTCAGCACTGCTTGGCGACCCTGCAGAGCTGTCCCCTGACATATCATTCTGACAGATCTTCAGCTTCCTAGAACTTTTTCAGAATCCATGTAAATGCTGTTGGTGAGCTCTTGTGGCAACGCAGTGGTTAAGTCTGGGTGTGGAGATACAAGCCTATCTGGCTGCCCATGTGTGTGTCTGGATAAAGGGCCTGTCTTCCCCATCTTGTGGGTGCAGAAGCTGTGTCCCCAGCATGCTCCTAACATACAGTCAGCCTGAACTTCTGAGTATCAGAGGCTGCCTGAGAAAGGGTGGGCCTGGCTGGGCTAGTAACTGAGCTTAGCAGAGAGTCCTGGTTTTGCCTTGCTTCTACTGCCTCCTCTCTTCAAGGGCCTGGAAAGATCCTTTGGCCTTTCTGAGCTTGTATCCTGAGGAAAGTAAGGCAGTTGGAGCTTTGACATTCCAGAATGTCAGGAGAATGTGGGGGAATCAGAATAAGGCCTACCTCTAGTGAAATGAGAAACTCTGGACCCAAGCTCTGGAGTGACTGAGAGGGATCTCACTCATGATAGGCCAGGCTTATCATGAGTCCTCCCAGCAAGGCCCTCCCCTCACAGTTTTGAGTCCTCCCAGCAAGGCCCTCCCCTCACAGTTTCCCCTCTTACATTTCTGAAACTTCCACCTCCCCAAAACTCCATCAGGTAGGAGAGGCCAAGTTCCTTCTGTCCCAAAGCAACATATATTGAGAAGCCACTGGTATGACACCAAGTTCCCTCCCTAGCACCTTGCTGTCTGCCTCTCCACAGGCTAAAATCTCATCAAAGTTCTGTGGGAATGAAGAGAAAGCCTTACCTGAAATGTCAGTGACTTTGATAGCTGTAGCTCGAGGAAACTTTTCTTTGAGAATCTGAGTCACTTTGAGCTCCCCTTCAGTCTGGGATGCAAACATCCGGTGGACACAGTGAAAAGGAAACTGCCATAGAAGAGAAAAGGCTCATGGCAGAGCAAGACAGTACTGCCCCCAGGGCTATTGCCATTCCCCTATAAGACAGGCCCCTGATCCTCACTGCTCAGCTATGAGTTATGTCAGAGGGAATATATGCTATCAAGTGGCCATTTAGCTTCTAAGGACACAAAACAGAACTTTTGGGGTGGGAGCAAAGGTAAATCATAAATAATTTACTCTGACAAGGCCTGAGACCTAATCCAAAAGACGTTTACCTTTTGACAGAGAGACACTATTATGATGAGTTTTATAGTCAAGGACACTGAGACACTAAGTAATGTGCCCAAGGCTGGCTCTGTTAGTAAGATTCAGAGCCAGGCTGTAATCCCAGTGGCTCAGGAGGCTGAGGCAGGAGGACTGTGAGTTAAAAGCCAGCCTCAGAAACTTAGTGAGCGGGCTGGGGATGTGGCTCAAGCGGTAGCTCCCTCGCCTGGCATGCATGCGGCCCGGGTTCGACCCTCAGCACCACATACCAACAAAGATGTTGTGTCCGCCGAGAACTAAAAAATAAATATTAAAAATTCTCTCTCTCTCTCTCTCTCCTCTCTCTTTAAAAAAAAAAAAAAAGAAAAAAGAAACTTAGTGAGGTCCTAAGCAACTCAGTGAGACCTTGTCTCCAATAAAATATAAAAAATAAGGCTGGGATTGGCCCAGTGGTTTAGTGCCCCTGAGTTCAATCCCGGGTACAAAAAAAAAAAAAAAATCAGAATCAGGGGAAAGGCCAGGGAACCTGCCTCAGACCTGCCCTGCCAGGTTACTGTGGCATTGCCCATCTACTGCCCTGCAGAATGGGGCCAAATCCCATTCACTTTTGAGGTCTGATTAGCAGGCTGCACCCTCCCCAAGGGAAGGTAACTTCACAACCTACTGGCAGCTCCCCTTTATACCATGTACTAACTCTCACTAGAGAGAAGAGACAGATGTTGTATTAAATGTCCTGAAGAAGGAATAGTTTTGGGTTATTCATGATTGTCAACAATCCCCCACCCCCATTTCACAGATGGTTACCAGAGGAAGCCAGTGCTTGAGAAGGAACACGTCTCAAACCTTAGGAGGGAAGCAGCAGAAAAACAGGTTGGCAGCCATTGGGGCTGGACCCCACACATGCTGAGCAGAGGCTGAAAATAGACCATGGCAGGCTGAGTGCCAGGCTAGAGATTTTGGTCTTCTTAGGCTATGTAACCCCACATGTGACCTAGGCTCTTGGTACTAAAGTAAGCAGCAGAAAACTGTGACTTGTACAGCTAGTCTAGGGAGACACCAGGAAGGAGAATCACTGAGCTGGTCTCTGATTGGCTGTGGAAGGCAGGCAAAACCCCAGGATTATTAGCGAGTGCTGGTGCTGAAGGTACCACTTCTTCACTGTCCTTTCCTGATGGCCCAGAGTAGGGTCCTGTCATAGAATCTCAGCTGTGCAAATGGGACTCTCTCACCAATTGCTCTTAAAGTCCAAGAAAGCAACTGTCCTGAAATAGCAGCCTGCAGTGAAGCCCGGTGCTGGTTCTCAGAAGCCCTGATGGATGAATGAATTTTGAGCAGATTAGGGGCAATGCCCACTGGGCACAGGCAAAGAAAGTCTGGCAGGCAGTTGAAATGCAGGTCGGGAGAAGAATCTGGAATTAGGTCTGTGTGCTAAAAAAGTGGATGTTTGAGGTTGGGTGAGATTGCAGGGGCAGGGGTGGAGGTGCTTTGGGAGACAGAATATTGGTGGAGGGAAAGGCAGAGGGTAACCAGATGGCAAGCAGAATGGGCAACCAGTAAGTGGAAGGGTGGTTAGCGCTGCAGAATCCTTGGGAAGAAGCTATCTATCACCTTAGCACACCTATGGGCAGCACCTTAAAAGGACTGACGAAGTCCCCAGTGGATCACTACCCAAGCTGACAGTAGCCGGCTGGTAGAACACCTCTGCATGCACCAAGGAGGCAGGATCAATCCCAAAGGGAAGAGAAGTAGATAGTCAAGAAGGGGCAGAAAGGATTGGAAGGGCACGAGTGGAGTGCCCTCTACAGGGCTTTCTGCCCGGGGCTGCGGAGTTTGGAGGGTCAAGGTCAGAGGCTCGGCCGAAGTTCCCAGGGCCCAGACCACCCTTCTTCGCAGCGCCTGGCACCCACGCCGGGACCCCGGACGAGGCAACTGCCCTCCGCTTCGCGAATCAACATTTCTCTTCCGGGTGTACACAACTGTTTATGTGTCTGTCCCCCTGAACTCCGACCTCCACCCAGTGCCGAAGCTGCAGCAGATCGCGCCAGGCAGGGCCCCACACTCCTCCGCGCGCCCAGGGCCGTGGAGTGAACGGATGAACGAACAAAATGAGAGAAAGAGAGCTCAGCCTCCGGCACTGCCCGCGCCCCCGGGAGCCCTTCTTAGAGCCCCGATGGCGGCCGGCCATGTCCCCCCGAAGCTCCGCCCGGGGAGAACAGCCCCGACCCGGCCCGCTCACCCCGCGGCTCCCGCGGAGCAGAGGCGCTGCCGCGGCG